AAGTTCAATGCCCGGAGGAAACTGAAGGTGAGTCTGGCCTTCCCATCTTGGCTGCCAGGGTCCTGAAATACTGTTTGACAGTGTGGCCTCTGCCCCATCACAGAAGGAAGCCTCCTCTGGACACTGAGGTTGGGGGCCCCAGAGCCCTGGTGTCTTCGGGCTGTAGCCAGCAGCTGCCTTCTGTCTGAGAACACTGCTTTTCTGGAGCCTGGTGGGATTCATGGGACTCTCTTCTTTTCCCAGGGTGCCATCCTCACGACCATGCTTGTCTCCAGGAACTTTTCAGGTATGTTTTCAGCTGTGCACTTTAATTCTACGAGGTGAGTGGGTCAGAACAAGCTGTTGCCGTACCACACCATCCTGGTGCCGGGTGTCTCGGGCAACACCTTGACCAAGATGATAAGGATCCTGTTTGGAGAGGCTGCTGCAGCTGAGTCTTGTAACATGAAATTCTGGAGGGCTTTACTTGGGCTTGTGTTTGTGAACTCTGTTCCTTAGACCCTCCTAAGGAGTAGCCTGCCCCGCCTCCCATTTACCTTGTCCACGGGATTCTTACTTAGTTCTCTGAAGACTCTCAGCACTTGAGATTTTAGCCAGTCTCTAGGGCACAGGAGGATGTGCTGGGGAAGAGAAAGAGATGTAGTGAACCTTCCAAGTCATCACCATTAATTTGCTGCCTGGGACGGTCTCTAATTTGTTGTGTCCAAGTAGAGGTGACTAATAGAAATTATTCCAGATATTTAAACCCTTACAGCAACTGTGCTTAAAATATTCTCTGTGATACCAGCTGTAACAGTGAAGAAATAGAGACCAGGAGGATGGAGGAAAGGAACTTGCTTAAATTTGCATGAGGAATTGGGAGAGCTGGGACCCAATAATGTGTAAATCACACTTGACATTTCTTTTTAAGATGCAAGACACTCCACGTCCCCCCCTAACCCCCACCCTTGTCATTGTTTGCCCTCAACTGGGAAGCACAGTGGCTTTTCTGTGGTGAAAAGATTAATGACAGGACTTAACTGAAGACAGAAAGGTCTCTTGCTGGCTTTCCTTTTCCCGTGGTCTTCCTTCCCCCTATTCCCCAGCGCCACTGTTTTGAAGACCCCCTCTCTCATTCTCATAACCAGACCCCCTCCCTTGCTTTCCTTCTGCATTGCCATGGAGTGGGGGTTGTGTGGGGGCTCAGGTGGGTAGCTCCTCTGGGCAGAGGTTGCTCCCTTGAGTTGAGTTCCCAGGCTCGGCTGTGCTGGTTCCCGGTAACCTACAGCCCTGGCTCTGGGGATGCTGATGGGCAGGAAGACCTGGGGCTTCATGAGCTCTAGCGGAGTGAGAGCCACTGGGCCCTGGAGGGTCAGGACTGGAGAGTGTGCTGGGAGGGTGACCCCCCCAGGCCTATCCCCTATGACCCTTGCTGGGGCTCGATCTTGTGTCGTGGGTACCCACGAGGGGATGGCTGTGGGTTCTGGCTCCACCTCAGAAATGGGAACAGGAGGGCACAGCTGGCCGCCTCCAGCAGAGATGGAGATGTAGTCCCACATCATGCTTCTGGTCCTCTTGTTACTTGCAGCTTCTAGTTTCTGGGTTTAAGAAACCTTTCTAGAGGATGGCCAAGGGCAGTTCTGTGCTGACCCTAGACTGGTGACCTGTTCTGTCTCCGGGTGGAAGAGATGCGAAAACAGGCTGCTAGGAAATCAATAGCATGTGCCCCGTCTTGTGGCTTTGGGCCTGCGCATCAGCCTCTTAAGGTGTCCTGGTTTCAAGAACTCAGTCTCTCTCTTAGGACAAAGCACTGATCCCTAAAGAGCCTCCTGTCCTTGCTGCCCAGACTTTGTCTGGCCTTTGCTCTCACTTTGCCCAGGCTCAGGAGATTAAAAAAAAAAAAAGGCTTCAAGCATTTTAGGGTGACCTCTTCTGCCCTGGTTCTCGGACAGGTGAGGACAGAGCGTGTCTCCAGGAGCTTCTGCAGACAGAGGTGTCTACAAGTATAATCAAGAAGGAAGGGCACTTGTGTGCTTCTTTAGGGACAAGCTAGGCTATTTTCTGAGTTGGTCCCAAGTAGAGGGTTCAGCTTATCCCTGGACGCTAGCAGATTGGCTGACAGTGAAATCAGGGCTTCTAGAATATATTGCTTTAGCAGCCTTTGTTTTCTTCCCGGGGGCTCGTTTCTTCGACATCTTCACCCTCGGACACTGTGAAATACAGCCTTTCCTGGCTGCCTACCTTGAAGAGGGAAAGTGCCCTGTGTCTCTGGGGAGCCGGGGCTGTGGAGCATCAGTGAGCTAGCTGCGCACGTCCATGGACCCGCCTCGGGCCCGCAGTGCCAGTCTCTACTGTTTGGAATGTAGCCGGAGGAAAAGGCTGCGCTCTGCTCCTGGCTCTCTGAAAACGTCCTCCTTTAGGTCCCCTCGGGAGGAAGGGCTGCAAGTGAGACTGTTTCCTCACAGCCTTAAGCTAGGGCCGGGCTGTATCAGGAAGGACACCGCCTCTCACCACGTCAGGCTTTGACCTGCAGACCCTCACGTGAGGTGGTCGCGGGACAGGTGGAGCCGCGGGATTCGCGGTCCTCTCAGGTCCCCAGACTGCTGCAGGGCTGGCCGCACCTGCTCATCAGCCTGCCCCCGGCGCCTCCGCTCCCCCAGCTCGGCTGGCTTGGCCACGCCGCCCGGACCCCGCTGTGCGTGGCGGCCAGCGGGTTCCTGCGCCTCGCGCTGGGGCATGCTCGCTGCTGACGGGCCCCCGTGGCTTTGCGGCAGCTCTGTGCACTGAGAGACTGTATCCCCTCAGTTGGCAGGCAGAGCTCCGCCCCCGCCTCGCCTGCCGCGAGCGCCGCCGGCCTGGCCGGGCAAGGTACGTGGCATGAGTCCTCCCCGACCGCCTGCCTCGGCTCCCTGCCACCCCACCAGGAGGGCCAGCATGCCGGGCCCGCTCACCAGGGAGGCGAGTCCCATGCTTGCGGGCTGAGATGGGCATGCCGGACGGACCACCTAACTTGGCATCTGCGAGCGCATTGGTGTTACGGAGCCCCCTAACCAGCCATGCATGCTGGGCGCTTGCCAACTCTCAGGAGGCAATAGCCTAGGGGCGTGGAGCTGGGCAGCAGGAGGCTTTTCCTCCAGACACTGCTGCTGGCCGGTGAGGCAGGCCCTAGAGACAGCCTGGGCGTGGCCGGGAGCTGCCCCAGCCAGGACTAGGCTTCAGCGCTAGTGAGGACCCCACCCCCTAAGCCGGGAAGCCACGCCCCTCAAGAGTGTGAAGTCTGGCATTTGTAGGCCTCTGAAAGGCTATATAGGGTGCAGAAGTTGTGCAGACAGCCGTCCCTGGGCTTGGATCCTAGCCCTGCCACACCCTGAGGAAGTCACATTAGCTCTCCCAGCCTTGGATTCCTCCTCTCTCCAGTGGCGCTAATAACATGGTGACAATTAACATCATATATGTCAAAGGCTCTCAACCCTGCCTGTACCAGAAAACTTGTTTTTAAAAAAAAAATCCTGATGCCGGGACCCCCCACCCCAGACAAATAAAATCAGATTCCCTAGGGCATGGGATAGGCATAAGCATTTTTTTTTCAACTCCCCTAGTGATTCTAGTGGACAGTCAGAGTTGAGAACTTGGATGTGTGTAGAGCACTTAATATAGTAGGTGGTCAGACATAGTAGTAAACATGTAAACAAAACAAGTTTCACATCACCCCAGCATAAACGAGATAGGACCAAAGGCCATTTTTGGAGCAAAGAATTCTTGTGATGGAAGGACCCTTATTTTCACAGTTGAACCAAGATGCAAAGAGCAAAGTCTAGGTGGATCAGACAGTTGGGCTGATTACATCTCCCTGGAATCTCCCATCTACTGTCTGCTACCTTCCTGTGGCCTTTGTGTCCAGCAGGCATCACCAGCCTTCCTACGGGGGGGCTCATCAGCCTTGAGCATCACTTTATGCCTGGCTAGAGTCTGGCCTTGTTGTTCTGCCCAGTCCTTTCTGCTCAGTGGGTCCAGAGAGTAAACACTGAGGAAAGCGTGGCAGTGAGGACCTGCCCAGTCAAGGCTTCAACCCCCTGGCAAAACCCTCCTGTAGGTGGTCCTGGTCCCTGTGTCTGTGTCTGTCTGTCCTCACGTCTGGTCTCCTCCGTGAACTGTGACACTCTTGTTTCTTGAGAACACTCAGGAGATGTCTTGCATCCTTGCAGCTTGGCCATCCTGAGAATCTCCATGGCCTCTAGGGCGGAGCCTTCATCTTTCACCTGGCACTCTGCTTCCAGGCCTCGGTGGAAGCTCTTGAAGGCAGAGTTCCAAGTGGCCCGGGCAGCTCCAGTATTGAATGTGGTTTCTCCTCCTAAGTGCAGAGTGTCCCTGTTTCTGCTGAGTCCTCTTCCATGGCAGAGGAGATCCTGGGGTGCCACCCTGAGGGTCTGAAGCTGCCTGAGATGCCCTTCTTGCTTTGGGGCACCAGGAAGAGCTTCTTCTAGGAGTTTCAGGAGACTCTTGGCCCCCTTGTCAGACACATCAGTCTTTGCGGATCCAGCTGCCAGACTTCATGTTGGGGAGGGTCCAATGCAGGAGACTTGATTTTCCTCTTTGTTTTCACAGCTGCCAAAAGCCTATTGAACAAGAAGTCAGACGGCGGTGTCAAGGTAGGTGTCTCCACTCCCTCAGCCCGAGACTGGCCTCTCTCTCCCAACAGCCACTTTTGGGAATTCTTGGCCCCTTGTTCCCCTTTTCCCCAGGAGCCTTCCTGTCCTTGCTTTTCTGCTTTAAACCAGAAACCTCTGTGCTCAGAACAGCAGGTTCCACTGGCCTCAGAGGGCAGAGAGATACTTGTTTCTCTTGACCCTAGCTTGATTGGAAAGATTCAGGGGAAGTGACCCAAATTATAGTTTACTAGAGCTGAATCCTGAACTTGACTTCCAGACTCAGGCCTCATCTCCAGTACTTGACTCTCTGGGTTTTTTAGGTCATTTGCTTAATCTTTTTTTTTTTTTTTTTTTTGTTAAAGCACAAACCCTTTTAGTCAAATAAAAGCAAAGTTTGCCTGGTTGACTCAGGGTACAGGGCTTGGAACCTGAAGCCACTATCCTTTTGTTCTTTTCCCTGTCTCCAAAGCACTGCCAAAACCCAGCTTAGATGCCACTCAGGGAAAGCATCTTAGGCTTTCTCGAGGCATAGATGCCTCAGAAACAGGTGAGGGACATGGCGTATCACAGTGCGTGTCTGTATGGTGAGAGAACTTTTCTTGGGGAATCAGGGCAAGAGGAGGAAATAGGGGCCTATAGCCACCAGGAGGAAGCCCTAGTGGGAGTGGCTTTGGGGGGCCAGAAAGGAGCCCTGGGGCTGGGGCATTGAATAGGAGTTCATTCTATCTAGGGAAGCCTACCAATTTATACCATAGAGAATTTCAAAGGCAGAATTATGCAAACCTTTAAATTCCAAAAGAAGTTTAATTATGCTTTCCCCCAGGATCGGATCTTATGTCCCCAGCTGAAATATACCTGTGTGCCCCATTCCCCACGTCCTTCCTCTTTCTCTCATTCTCTGCATGCCTGCTTCTGTGTACTGCTGCCCTAAGGAGGGGAGCTTGGGCTCTGCACACACCTGCTGACATGGAGCTGGGATTGAATGGCAGCCTCCCAGTTACAGGGTGTGAGCTAAGCAGGTAGAGCCAAGCTAGGAAGAAGTGGCAGGTTTAGTTAGAGATTTTGCCTATTTCTAGCTGGGGAAGAAAGTAGAATCAATCTTGACAAAGTATTAAGTACCTCTGAGAGGCCCAGTGCTGGGGGCACACAAGAGGTGTAAGAGGAGTTGCAGGTTCCACCCAGCCTCAGGTAGTTGCAGGGTTAATTGAAGAGGAAAATGGACACACCTGGAGTCAGCTGAGCACTCGTTCTGGACCCTGCGTGGGTTGGTTCAGTCCAAGAAGCTTCTGGGGAAAAACGTACTGGAGAAAGTTTAAAGGACGTAGGAAGACTGGACCGTGTAGGACCCAACGGGATCGGAGGCGAGGACGGGGTAGGGAGACACGCTTTTGTTTTTTATTTTGTACACATGTGTTTTCTTTAAAATGAGAATGTATTACTTCTGTAACTCAAAAACAACAAAAAATATTTTCATAGGTTCTGTCATACATATCGATGTTCTCTGCCCAACTGGACCATGGGGTGTGTGGTAGAGGGATATAAAAAAAATACAGCTGCATTGGTCTGGTTGGGCAGAGGAATTGGAGGCTTGTGGATCAGATCACGGGAAACACCATAGGCTACTGAGTGGGGAAGAGCAATGTTTTTGAAAGACTTAGCTAAGCGTGTTAGGACAAACAGAAGAGGATAGGAAATAGGTATGGAGTATCAACTAGGATTTATTATAATCTGGGTGTAGGGTGAAGAAAAGGTGATTAGAAATAGAAAGGGTTAGTATTCAAAATAACCCAGAGGAGCTTAAATCAGTCAGAACAGGGACTGCCTGTGGGTCACTGGTCCCGCTGTACCTGTGAGTGCTGGGCTCTGATTAGACGTTAGCTCTGGTTAGAGGTGTGTCAAAGGAAGTTCACCCTGGATATGGGGGATTAAAAAAGGATCCATTCAAGATAATGTCAAAGTTCCTTGACTATTAAAAGAAATGGTGGTGTCTTTGCTAGAAATGAGAGTAATTGTGAAGAAATACCCGTTTTGGTGGGAAGAGTTGTTTCGTTTTGACCACACTGAGACAGAGAGAGGTGGGGGTCTGGGTGGAGAGGTCTTTAAAGGTGCTGTGAGATACCTGGTGTAGCCTCGGGAGATCAGCGCTGGATGTGGGATTGGGGACTCTCAGTGAGTGAATTTCATGAGTCCACTCCCTCAGCCAGTCTGCGTGTCAGGAGCTGGAAAGGCAGCAACGTAACCCACTCTTTAAAGTGTTCACAGTGGGAGAGGGACAAGGAGACCACCAGTTCTGGGAAGGTCTGTGAAGGAGGTGACGCAGGGCTGGTGCTGGGGGAGCAGAGAGGCCAGCATCTGAGCCAGAACAGGAAGTTTTCCTCAAGGAGGTGACTTCTGATCTGAGTTTGAAGTACTAGTTGGATTTTGCGGGTTAAGGAGGGGAGGGGAGGGGGAAGGATACTCCAGGCTGTAGCTCATGTGAAGGTAACACATGTTTGAAGCAGCATAATGTTCCTGGGAACACGAGTAGCTTCTGTATCGTGGAAGCAAAGAGTGACTGCACAAAACAGGACCTGACGTAAAGCAGTGACAGCTAAGATGGTGGTGAGAAGATGGATAAAGTTGTCATTAAGGAATAGGATTCTAGCGGAACTTTCCAGGTACTGGCCTTGAGGATGAGTCAGGCACAGCCATGTAAGACTAGCCTTAGGAGCTAGTTAAAATACACAGATTCCGGGGTCCAACCTGGAATTCAGGTTCAGGAAGCCTTGGGTGGGAGGCAGAACCTGAATTTTATAATTCTCCTCTTCCTCCATGTGAATCCAAAGCACATGAAAATGTAAAAGTCCAGGAAAGGCACAGTTTCGGGGTTATGATATTAAGGGAATTCCTGACCCAGGAATCAGCAAGGGAAATGGAGGAAGAGCAGAGGTGTGCAACCATGTCATGTAGGCACACAGAATCAATAAATAAATCACTTTAAATGAGACCATATGTGGGGAACCTAGCCCAGTGTCTGACTCTGATATGTGCTTCGTACATGAGTTTTATGCTTGAGAAAATACTTAGAAGATTGTGGTGGGACCAGAGGCTAAGATGCAAGTATGTAAGGGGGAATGACCAACCAAAATTAAAAGGCCAACAGTAGACAGGTTGGGGAAGGTATTCACAGGTGTGAATGGGAGGAGTTCATATTATTTTTATACAAAAGAACTTTATCTAATAATATCCCCTAAAATTCAGCAGATAAATGGTCAGAGAAGATGCAATGACAGCCTGAAAAGAGGAAGTAGGACAGGTTAACCAGTGTGGATGTTTAGCCTCATTGGTATCAGAAATGCAGGTTGAAATGAGGTGCCATTTGTTGACTCTTCAGTTCGTGACAGTGGTGTAAATTGGAATGACCCCTCCTAAGCAGGCTGTGTGTCAAAAACTGTCAAAATGTTCCCTTTTTTTTTTAACCCTTTAGTTTGAACTTCTGGGAATTTGTCCTAGAGGAATCATTCAAAATATGAAAAAACTGAAAGCAGAAAAGATGTTCAACATGACATTATTTATAACTGAAAAGATGGGAAACAATTTCAGATGCCAACAAGATAATGACTAAATAATTATGGGAAATCTAATGGACCATTACAAAGTTATTAATTTTTATGACTATATAATGACAAATGCATTGAGTGGGAGAAGTGGCATATAAAGCAGTGCATACACTGTTGTCTAAATTTTGTTTAAAATAAACAAAGTACTTGTGGATTATATTTAGTGGATAGTAGGTATATAAAAAAAGAACTGGGAGAAAATTCACTGAAGTTTTAATAGTAACTTCACTAGGTGAGGGGAATTTGGGAAACTTTTATTTTAAACATTTTTCTGTATTTTCTACATTTTTCATTTAGACTGTGCATTACTTTGATAATCACAGTAAAAATCAGAATACTATTTTCAAAAGTAAGGCATAAAAAAAGGCATAAACTTGTGTATAGCTTACAATGGTATGTTTAAATTGGTTATGAGAAAGGACTGGCAAGAGTGGTAGGATTAGGGGTGTTTTCCCCCTCTTTTCTGTTCCCAAATTGCTTGTAATGTGTGGCTCTACTCCTTTTATAATCAGGAGCAGGTATATAACAATGGACAGCATGGTTGGATGGAAGTCCTGCGAAAGAGGAAGGGGAAGATGAGGCAAAATGTGCGGGGTTTGCCTTTCTGGGCCCTCTTGGAAGCCAAGAGGTGATAACCTGTGTTATCAGGGAGGCCTGTGAGGCTGCTCAGAAGATCCTGAGCTGTAAGCATCCTGGTTCTTTCTTTTAGACCATATCCTCCTTTCCTAGTCCCCCACCCCTACTTGTTCCCCAATTCCTGCTGCTTAAAGTCCACAGGGAGGCTTCTTTGCAGCTGTCCAGGAGCTTTCACAGGATGCTCAGTATTAGCATTGGTTTGAGCAGTGAGTCTACCTTGTGCACTTGAATTTGGGAAATTCAGGTTCTGGTTAGGTTTTGTTGAAGTTAGGTACTAGTGACCCAGGGTCTATTGGGGAGTGAGAGCCACTTGTGGGGACAAGACTTGAGGGGCCCCTAGTTGAGGACAACTTGTGCATTCTGCTAGTTCCAGGCCAGAATGGCCATCCAGTCTTAGAGAGAGAGAGAGAAAAGAAAAGATAAACAGAGAAAAGGAAAGATAAAGAAGGGAGGGAGAGAGGAAGGAAGGAAAGAATGAGAAAAGAAAGAAAGGAAGAAAAGAAAAAAAAGCAAGCAAGCAAGAAACAAAGAAAGAAAAATAATTGTTATTTTTCTTAAGTACTGTTTGAAAATTTGTTTAAGTGAGGAAAGAAGGCTTGAACCTTTTTCTGGTTTAAGATTTTACTTAATTTCTAAACATAAGTGAGATACGGTTGTTAAAAAGTGATCTGGTGCTTAAACAGCGCTGCAGGTTGCTGGTGGAGAAGGAGCCCAGCTATGCCTGGCTCAGGGTGAAACCCTAAAGGGTTGGAGAGAGGAACTGAAAGAGGTCTGTCCACCCCTCACCCCACAGCTCTTGTATAGAAAGGATTATCTCAGGTTTTCATGCAGAACAGTTTAGGAGAAAAAGAGCCACCCGGGAGCAAGTTGGGAACTTTCTCCCCATTGTAGAAGTGGGCAGCAGGAAGGGTCCGCCTAAGGCAAGGTCCGGGTGAAAGCGACCTGCAAGGCCCGGTCTGTGCCCCTGCAAGTTCTGGACAAGTTAGGAACCGGGGTTCTGCTTTTGCCTGGTGAAAAGCCAGGGCCCACAACCCCGTTTACTTCAGCAAACATATCCTGCCTTTAAGGCATTTTGCTAGGCGCCGTGGAGATTACCAAGACAAATAACATATGGACCTTCCTTCAAAGTGTCAACACTCTACTTGGATAAAGGGTTAAGGGTACATATGAATGTGAAGAAAGTTCTTCTTTTTTGGATAATTTGGAAGTAAAATCTCATGTTTGGGCGTACATGGAAAGGTGAAATAAAAGCCATCTAATGATGTTCAGCCTTTCTTTTTCTTTAGAGCTGATTCCAAATTGTTGACCATTCTTTCCAATACCTGTAGTCCCCTTGTTTTGAATAGAATACATTCTCAAAAATGTTTCCTAAAGTAGAATGTCAGCCTCTTGAGGGCAGAAAAATTTTCTCTGTGTTCACAGTGCCTAGAATAGCCCTCAATGAGCATTTGCTGGATATCAGATGAATATGCAGTTGTCAAGTGACAGACATGTTCCAAGGGGACTTCTGTCTCCCAGAGAGCTCTTCATAAAATTCCTAGTTACCTCTCATCTTTTATGTGTGTGTTTGTTTCAGGGTGGGGGGAGGTAATTAGGTTTGTTTGTTTGTTTGTTTGTTTACTTTTTGGAGGATGTACTGGGGATTGAACCCAGGACCTCATGCATGCTAAGCATGCGCTTTTCCACTTTGAGCTCTACCCTCCCCCCACCTCTCACCTTTTAAACACAGTCTTCCGAGATACATTTTCAGTGTTCCATGTGGCCTTTATTTTTATGCTCTTGTTTCACATTTGAACGTAAAGTCCCTGAACATCTAGTCGAGGCTAAGGAATCGGTGCTTTCACAGCATTCCCGCTAGTTTACATCTTTGTGTCCATATAATCACTATACTTTTAATCACCAGCACTCTTATTTTTCCATTTCCCACTAATTGCAAAATGCAATAAAACATTGACATCTTATAAACAAGCATGGCCATACCAATGAAGAAAGGGATGCCAAAATTTAATGTGTGTCAGATGATTTACAAAATCTCAGCATCTTTATCTGAAAAGCAGTTCAGGGGTGCAGTGAAAAAGTCTAGGCTCAGAAGTCAAATGTTGTTAAAGCTGACGATGACCTAGAATAGCTTTCAGTATTTATCTGAGAGCTGCTCACTCGAATTTCAGGCAGACCTAGTAATAAGAGAAAATAAACAATCCTACAGTTGAGCTAGGCTTATAAGCCCAAATGTATATATTTGTAGGAAAATGTTACTTATTCTCATAGACTTGACTTAATCTCCTTTTAAGAGGTTTTCTCTGAGCAAGGTTGAGACACCTCAGAATATGCTAAATCTCTATTTGTGAACCTGACAGCAAAGGAGTTCTTCCTCCCTCAGGGTCTGGAGAGGGTGTGTGCCTGTCGGTCTAGGTGCTGTTTTAACCCTGCCGGTGCTGGACTCCAGGTCTCCTCCTTCTGCTCTTGTCTCCTGAGGCAGAGCCCACGCTGGTGCACTAACCTGCAGCGTCTCCGTGCTTCTCTTCTTACCTCCTCTTTCCCCTTCTCTTTCCCTTTTGCTGTGGTGTGTCCAGAAAAGGAAGTCGAGTTCCAGCGTGCACCTGATGGTGAGCCTTGCCTGCCCACCCATCCGCCCGCTCCATGCTGCCTGCGCCCGCCTGCCAGCCACGCAAACCCATTCTGCCATGTGCGTGTGCTTCACTCATCCTCACTGCATGTCTGTGCCGTGTGGGCAGGTGTGGCCTGACCTGCCAGGCCGGGGCCATTGCCCAAAGTCGCCTGGAGGCCTTAAAAACAGGCATTGGAATGTGTGCTTTGGCACCCCCTGCTGCAGAGCTTGGACTGCCCCAGCAGCCCAGAGCAGGATGTGAAGCTGGCAGGGACTCGGGGCCAGTGGCCTGCACAGGGGGAGACCCTCACTCACTGTGTCTCGGGAGGAGAGGCCCTGCTCACCGGGCACGAGCAGCCGTGGGCCTCTGTGTGATGTGCAGAGGAGCCGGTTGTAGGCTCACAGCTCTGAGCCTCACTCTCCTGGCCTTTAGTGCCCATTAGCAGGCTGTGCCCAATGTTTCATCCTTCCTTCCCAGCCCGCAGGGGAACAGCTGAAAGCCTGCTGAGAGCGCATCTTCTTTCTCATGGGACACAGGGCACCCAGGGGAACACAGCAGCCTGAATCCTTGTGAAACCATCTATTAAAGCCGGAGGTGGGGCCACCTGGGTGACATCCCAGCCCTTTGCAGATATAGCAGGTTTTACAGGCACCCTGCAGACCTTTTCCCTTGCCAGGGTCTCTGTCTCAGCTGGGCTTTGCAAACAGGATAGCCTTCTCTAGTCAGCCCCAAACAAGTCTGTATCCACAGAGCTAGGAGGGCTCAGCTCTTTCCTGGGGAGAATGGAAGAGAGCAGAGCTCACGTGAATTTCGATCCACATCCTGGCTACTCCTGGGACCCCTGTTCAGCCTGCAGAGTTCAGTGGAGTCTTACATACAGCACTTGGTGCTTGCTTGAGGTTCCATGCCTAGCCTTGGGTTTGGGGACATCTCAACCATTGACAGCAAGCTAGTGGTAGATGGCTTCAGGTCTGGTCCAAGGGGTGATAAAAGAGAACTCCAGGTAAGAAGTGGGGCAGTCTGGATGGCTTTCCATGTGTCCTAGGAGAGAAGAAGCACATCCTGTCTGCCAGTGTGTGCTCATTTGCGCCCTGCACAGAGATGGTAGCTATGCATTTGTCTCTGCCTGTTGAAGGATTCATAGGCATCAGGCTGCTTCTCCGTGGCCACCAGCTCCCCTGGGTCTCCCAGAGAGACTGTTAGTTAGGGGATTGTAAGAGGCAGAGAATATCGGTATAACTTCCTGCCCTGGAAATCGGCCTCCTTCCTCGCCATCCTCCCCGCCACCCTCCCTTGCTGTGCCAGTCCATGTAATGCTTTGGAAGTCAAGGAGATAACCCCAGTGGTCTGCTGCTGTTAAGAATGTCAGCCTGCTGGGCAGCCCGCTCCTTCCTGGGGGCTGGGTTCTGGGACTGCTGCCACAGCCCCTATCTGGATTCTCTTTGGAGTTCTGTCCTCATTCCTGGCTGACCAAGTCTAAGATTGATCAGGCAGAAAGGCCAACAAGCACAGCCCTTTTTCTGCCCCCTGGGGTCAGTGGATGCATTTTGTACCCGAATTCCACCCCTTTCCTCTCTGGACACCATCTCCTGGGCTAGGTTTTCTTTCTCCTCTTGTTCCTCTTCATTTCAGATCAGGCTTCAGTTTGGTGTTTTAAGGGGAAGGAAATACAGGTGGCAGGTTGAAAGGGCAGCAGGAGATTGCCCATCATTAGGGGACCCAGAGTTCTGAATTTGTTGTGCTTTCTTATAAACCACATTCCTTTCTCCCTGTAAAGTGAGAAGATCCTGAATTTCTTTGGGTGAAGTATGATTGTGCAGTGACATGGCATCTGGCATAAGCAGAGATTTCTGGAGAGAGGCTTTAAAACAAGTCTTTGGGCTCGTCCCACCTCGAGGATGCCTCCAGGACTAGGTTTCCAGGGTCCTCTGGTCATCTCTCCAGCCATTGCTCCCATCCCACAGTGTTATCGAGGCCATCTCGGGCCTCGCTCCTCCGGGCCAGGCCGGGAGTCAAGGGAGGTCTGGGAGTCGAACCTGAGCAGCTTTGGTGACTCTAGAGGAACTAAACCATCTGTTTTCTTGTCTCAGCCACAGAGCAACAACAAAAACAGTCTCCTAAGCCCAGCCCAAGAGCCCGCGCCCTTGCAGACGGCCATGGTACCTCCTGACTACGGCTTCTCCGCCCCCGCCCCTGGCTGCCTCCCGCTCATCCCCTTCCTCTCTTGCCCTCCCTCCCAGGCCTCCTTGTCCCTGCTCCTTTCTCGTCCCCATAGCGCAGGCTGCTTTGTGTCCTGCTCAGAGGCCCTACCCCCTCATTGCCCGCTTGGCCCGCTCCGTCCTGCACGGCAGAACTGCTGCTGCTGCTCCTTTTGCTGTTGGGGGAAGAGTGATCAGGGCTCTCAGCTAAACCTCCCCGCCCCAGGCCGGGCCCCAGGGGGTCTGCTGTGGGGCTGGGAAGGTGAGTGGCTTATATAAGGAGAGGGCAGGAGCTTTCTGGGACCTGTACGTCAGTTCTTGGAGGCCTCCTTGTAAAATAGGCCTCTGCCTCTCCTCTGCAAACCCATGAACCAGAAGAGGGGCTGGGGTCCCCCACCTCTGGATGGTGCTGATGTCTCTGGGTTCTTGGAGAGCCTGGGGCTGCCCATGCTGTCCGAGTTCTGTCTGGGCTCCCCAAGGGGCCCTGGGTGCTCTCGGAGCTCCGTCTGCGGTGGCTGACTAGACTCAGCCGGGAGGGAAGGGGGGTGACTGGGAGAGAGGGAGGGCTCATCATGCCTGTTCCTCCTCCCTCCTGTGGACCCTCGTGCTGCCTGCTCTGGTGCCTTAGGGACAGGAACTCCGGGAAAGGCAGAGGGCGGGTGAAGCAGGCAGCTCTCTGGGCTCATCTTGCTGAGGGCCATCCTTGGTCTTTCTGGGAGACCTCAGTCCACTCTCCTTGTGTCCCTTCCTCTCACACACCTCTTGATGAACACTGTTGGCAGGGCCCGATCTGTGCCCATAGCCCCCCAGCTTCTCGCATATACTTGTCCCATGGGGGAAAGAATACCAGATCCAGCAGAAGTCGGGAGCAGAGGCCCTTGTCCTCTTAGCTTCCCCAGTTCCTGCTTCCATTAAGTACGAGGTCTCTCCTCCTTACCAGCCAGGGCTGTCCCCTAAATCTGGGGCTTCCGGCTGTCTGGGACCCAGCTGAGCCAGGATTTGTTGTGGGAATGGCTGGTGAGCAGGCCTCAGTGGTCATCATAGGGTCAGTGTATGAGGGTACTGGGCTAGGGGTGGGGTCCCTCAGGAAGAGCGTTAGGTCTATCCCCAGGTCAGGGGGATAATTTTCACCTTCTCTCACAGGAACCACAAACCACCGTGGTGCACAACGCTACAGATGGGATCAAGGTGAGTGGCTCCTGAGCCAGTCTCCTGCTTTTCAAGACCAGCAGGAAACAGGTGGGCTGGGTCACGGTGTCTAAGGCCCTTGCAAATGGCAGCACCTCGAGGCCAAGGTGTTTGCAGAGCCTGGGCGGGGGTAGTGTGTGCCTGTTCTCAGGAAGGGTGTTACACCTTAGTGATTCTGAGCCTCTAGAGTCAGACAGGCCCTGGGCTGCTGGACAAGTCACTGCCAGTCTACAGCTCAGTTTCCTTATCTGCAAACTGGGGATAATAATAAGAGAACCTTCCTCCACGACCTTTGAAGTTTAAATGAGAGTAAACACTGGCCAGAAGAACAGAGGCCAGAGTATAATCAGACCCTCAAGCTTCCATTCTCCGTTGCCACACTCCTTTATGCCCTCAGTGATCTTGTCTCCTTATTTTCACTGCCATCAGTAAATATTTATTGAGCCCAAGACCATCCATAGCTCTGGTGTACAAGAGGTGACAAGACAAAATCCCTCACCACAGGTATAGGAGAGGCAGGTGATAAACCAAAAACCAAATAAATAGAATAAAATCCAGGAGTGATAAGTGCACTTATCTTATCTTAAGAAAATAGTGCAAAGTAAATGGAGGGTGAATAGGGCCTTTAATTAAGTGGTCAGGGAAGGGCCTCCCTCAGGAGGTGATACTTGAGCTAAAATGAGACAGCCAGGCAGACTGTGGGGCAGAGTGCCCTGGACAGAGGGAATGGCAAGGACAGGGGCGTGGCACCTCTGTGGGACAGAGGAAATCAGAGCTAAGAGTGTAGGGGGCAGGGGGACAGTGGCAGGAGGCTGGTATAGTTGGAGGAGCAGGCAGGACCTGCTCTGTAGAACTGGATAGGATTTTATTACAGCAGCAACGTGAAGCTGTTGGAGGTTCTTAGTAGGGGAGTAATAGAGTCTGATTTACACTTTGAAAAACTCTGGCCATGTTACAGGCAAGAACTTTAGGGAGGAGACACATGTGAAAGCAGGGAGGCCAGGAAGCTATTGTCATAGTTCAGATGCCAGATGTTGGTATCTTGGACGCAGGTTGTAGCCTTTGAAGAGAAGAAGTAAGACACAGGATTTATTTTGGGGGTAGAACTGACAGATTTAATTTTTAGATTGGACAATTGTGACATTAGAGAAAAAAAGGAAAGTCAACATAAAATCAAACCTAGAAGATGACTCTAGGTTTTAGCCCAAATGCCTGGATAAATGGTACATGTGCTGAGTTGGGAAGACTCGCTAGCGTGTTTGGGAGTCCAGAGTTTCGTAAGAGTCAAGATGGCAAGGGTGAAACTCCTGTAGGAGCACATACTATGCTTTTGTTCTGCTTGGCTCCTCTGATTTCCAAGGGCCTGAATGTATAGAAACATGTTCTTTTTGGCCTACAGGGCTCTACAGAGAGCTGCAATACCACCACAGAAGATGAGGACCTCAAAGGTAGGTGCTGGCCCTTGGTGGGGAAGGGCCCCAGCAGCGTCTCAGGCACCTGAGTTCCAGTGGGGCAGCTGGCTTGTCCGCCCCCAGAACTGAGATTAGTGGCTCCTTAATATCCCAGGAGAAGGTTTGACATAAAAGCTGCTTTTCATGGGCTAGGATATGAGGCCCCAGTCTGACATTGCTGGGCAGGGCAAGAGACTGCTGTTCTTTGACCCCAAGTCTAAGATAGCTAAATTAGGGCTTTTCTCGATCCCTTCTAGGCCCAGGGCTCAGAGAACTGTTCCTGTTGCTAATAATGAAGTGACATCCCAGAACAGGGACATCTTGAGTCCCTGCAGAAGTAGCCTACAGATACCATGAGCCACTAGTAGGGTCCCAGTTTTCCCAGGACTGACGTGATTCCCAGGATGTAGAACTTTGGGTTTTAACACCAGGACAGTCCTGGGCACGTTGGGATGGGTTGGTCACTCTCATCACAAAGCCTTGGTGTAAATGACAGAGTCAGAAACACATCTGACCATGTCCCAGTGGTCCTGTGAAGACCACCAGCTTAAGCTCGGGCCTGGCCAGAATGCCAGGGGGTGTGGGGAGGCATGGCAGGCCAGACCATGGGGAATCTCTGTCCTGCTCTGTGGTTCGGCCTCCGGAAATTGCTCCCTTTGCCTTCAGTAAGTGACCTTAGGCCAGGTTCTCAGAAAAGCTGGAGGAATGTTGCAGGACAGAGCTGAGAGAGCATGCCCAGGGGCAAGAAGGGAAGAATAAACCTTTGGTAATCAGAAACATAGAAAGCATAAGGCATATAAAAGTATGTAAGGCAGTAAAGAACAGTGCCTCCAGTGCTGCTGGGATTAAGGTCAGATCGATTCAGTTCTGGTGATGCTGGTAGAGTAAGCGGCTCCTTCACTGCTGGGCTCTTGACCTTGTAGCCTCGCCCCCTAGAACGTCTTGCCTGGAAACAGGGGTCCTCATACAGGCTGTTTGAAGGCTCCTCTGGAAGCCACAATCCCAGGTCTGTGCCCTGTCTTGGGGCTCTCAGCTGGGAGGCCTCCGTTAGAGGCAGTGGCGTAGGACATGGTCCAGTGTCCACAGCAGCCCGAGGCGCCGCCTTGCCCCAGCTCTTCAGTGCCACGGGCTCGGGTCCTGTCCGGCTTGCTCGCTCACCTGCCTTGTTCTGTTTGTTTTGGCTGCTCTGCCTTGCCCTGCCCTGCCCTGGCTGGCTAGCTGCCCCGCTCCGCACTGGGAATGGCAGCTCGGTGCCTGAAGGACGGAGCTCCCGGGACAGAACAGCCCCCTCTGCAGGCATGCAGCCCCAGCCTTCTCTCTGCTCCTCAGCCAGTAAGTGTGAGGGAGGCACATTCTGGCTTCCGTCTCCCTGGCTCGTCCTGAAGCCCCTCAGGGATCCACACCCCCAGCTGTCAGCCCCACCCAGCAGTCCATCTTAGTTAGCTTCAGCTTGGCCTCTGTTGGGTGGGGGAGCTGATTGGAGGTGCTGTTAAGACCAGGCAGGGGCCCTTGACACTGGGGCCCACAGACATGGAGAAAAGCGGGTGGAAGAACGTGGCATGAAGGGACAGAGTAGAAGGTCAGTGGGACGTGCAGTGGGCCTTGCCTCAGCACTGAGCTGGGAAGAAAGCCAGAGTCAGAAGTCAGGTCCAGGGTGGTGGGAGCTGGGTGGGAGGGTGAAACTGCCTTATTCAAGAAACCATCTTGGAATGTGGTGCTTCTAGAGGTTCAGCATAATATCATATTAAGAGCTGGGGGTGAGACAGGCCTGAGTGTAAATCCAGCTACACTGCCTTCAAAAACGTGCAAAGTAGTTTAACCATCCAGAGCTTCAGTTTCCTTATCTGCAAAGTGGGCATAAAATGGCACCTACCTCATAGCATTGTTATGAAAAATAAATGGGATGGTAGAATGTCTTGATGTGATGCTTTGCTGGGTTAACGGTAGCTTGTATTTATATTCTTCGTTGTATCTTTGTAGAGGATGCCTTTGTCTGCTGCTTTCCCTCCTACCATCTATCCTTTTTAGAGTTCCTAAACATGATCCTCTTCACCCATAGGGCCCCAGTCAGGTCCTCAGAGGGGTTTGGTGGGTTGGGGAGAGAGAGAGAGTGTGTGTGTGTGTTTGTGTGTGTGTGTGTACATACCTGCTCACCCCTAGAAAGGGGTAGAGCTCATTGGTTCCCCTAACCTGCTGCTTACTCACCTAGAGCTGCCCACCACCCCATCCCACCCCACCCCCGGCCCCCAATGGTGCTGATGGCTATGGAGCCCCCTCTTGCCTGTACCTTTGGCTGCACTGCCCTCTCCCAGCAGTGCTCCTTGGCTGTTGTTTTTATGCTTGCATTGGTCTTGCTCCTATGAGGAAAGGTTTGTGGCCTGGACCAGACTGGGGCTCCAGGCAGTGTTTGCCTCAGCTCAGTCTGAGGCCCATCCCCGTTTACCCTGGCAGTAGCCTCTGCTAATAGTGGTGCTCCCTGTAAGTGAGCTGCCCTTGAGAGCAGGGTGTCACCAGCAGTCCCCTGGCTGGGGATAGGGCGGAGATGGGGGAGGCTCTGAGGTCACCAGCTCTGCCTGCCTGTCAGTCTGAGCCTTTTCTTGGTTTTCCTGAGGGACACATCCTGGCATGAGAGCTGGTGTGAGATTTAGAGCTTTTCCAAGGCTTGTCCAGGGTAAATGGAGCCATCTCTCTGGTGAGAGGCTCCATTTAAAAAGTGTTTATAGTTTCAAGATCCTTTATCCCAGAAAAGCCCTGTGGAGGAGAGGAGCAAGGTGAAGAGAATCAAGCCTCCTCCTAGGGCTCTGTTCACCCTTTCAAGCCCTCATCCCTGGCTAGATTCTGCTCTCAGGCTGGCTGGCTGTCACCCAGGGCTAAGTTCTGAGCCACTGAGTAAGCACTGGGGGTGGGATGGGGGGCAGTTGAGACCTGACTGAGGTCCTTCAGGTGAGAGAAGTGGGTGGTGGAAACAGCCGTATTGGGAGATGCTTTTTTGAGAGGCTGCACCTGCTGGGAGTAGGAAACAGACTGAGGGCAGAATATCACAGTGTGTCAGGCTCCTCGGCTGTTATAAATTCAAGACTGTTTTCTGCATGCTCGTTGTTGATGGAGAGGGAGGCAAAGGCCAGAGAACCATAACTAAGACAACAGAGGGGCCGTGGAGAGAAACGTGGGCTCACTCTTCCCACAGAGGGCCTTAAAAACAGAGGAGAAGGATGTCTTTGTCAAAGTGATCACAGGGGATTCTCTGAAAGACTGGGGAGGGCTTTCGGTCCCTTGGGAGAGCCCCAGTCTCACGCAAGTAAATTGCTGGATTTTTCCCCTACAGTGCGAAAACAGGAGATCGTTAAGATCACAGAACAACTGATTGAGGCCATCAACAACGGGGACTTTGAGGCCTACACGTGAGTAGAGGCTCATTCCCTTGAGACCCAAGTCACCTCTCCCAAAGTGCCTTGGGCACAGTGTCTGAGTTAAACTCCAGGCCCCTCGCCCAGGAGCCCTTCCAGGTAGACACCAGTGATGGAGCCTGCCGTGGTGTTCTGGCCAAGGGTGGAAGGGGCAGCGCTAAGCAGCTCAGCAGGCAGGGCCCTAAGATCTCAGCCATCTTGTCGGTCCTAGCCCACAACTAAGCTGCTGCAGGACAGGCGCCGCTGACCAGGAGGAGAGACAGGTGATTCCCATAGAAGACTGACAAGCTGCTTTTTGTTTTGTTTTGTTTCTGCAGGAAGATTTGCGATCCAGGCCTCACTTCCTTTGAGCCTGAGGCCCTCGGTAACCTCGTGGAAGGGATGGATTTCCATAAGTTTTACTTTGAGAATCGTGAGTGGGTTCGTGCTGCTGAGATACTCCTGCCTGCCCCTCACCCCTTGCCTCTGTCCCCACTTGCCTTCTCCCCTTCCCAGTTGCTCGCTCTTCCCTTCCTGGACCCACCTGCTGCACCCTGGTCTGTGTGCTTGCCTCCTTGTGCCCTGAGGACGGTCTTAAACTGGCACCTTTGAGGGCCTCCTCTAGGGCCCATGTGCCCCTCCATTCTGCAGCTGCCTCATGGCGGTGCCAGTTGCCCCAGTCGGGGTCACTGTAGTTCTTTAAGCCTTACCTCTTTCCAAGACGATTGGAAACCATTCGAGATTAGGTGGAAATGATCTCAACAGGCAATAATGGAAGGCTGGGTCTGCAGGTTTCACAACAGAGGAAAATTAAAACCACGATAAGAATTTGCAAGCAAGTAACAGGGCACTGTTGTTGATTGTGAGATTGGAAGTTGTGGCTAGGGTCCTCCCTCCGTCCGTCCGAGGGAGATGGGCATCCCTGCTGGCGGTGGGGGTGGGAGTATGTGCTCTGACAGTTTGTGGAATTTTTTAGGGTATAAGAAGCTGATTCAGGACCCCCTCCCATCTTTCTAAGACTGTCCCCCTCCTTATTTTTTTCTCATCTTTCCCACTTTATCCTGGGCCTTCCCCATCCTGCCCTGAGTTTTATTTTTCCACTGTTTTCTCCATGTCTCAGCTGCAGTTGTAAACCTTAGGTTATCTTAAGTAATTCTATCAGCCAGCAGCAATTCCAGAATTTATAGAAGCTCTCTGGAAGGTCTCATGTAGCCCCTAACACTTGAACTAAAATGCACATCTCAGTAAAAACAACACAATTCACAATGTTTGCTGATAATGGCAGTCCGTCCCTCTTCTTTCGGCTTCACCCCAGATCCTGGGAACTTTGGGAATATCCCAGGCTTGGTGCCTTGATGATTTCTTTTTTAACTTTGGCCCTTTTAAAAATCATAAATCAATTCTGAATATTTTAAGTTCTTGATTTTGCACTACAGCCCTCATTAGGACCAGCAAGCCCTTATGAAATCTACACCCACCTGGCAGAGTAGAAAGATCATGAGCTTTCGTTAAGAAGGCCCTGAGTTCAAACGTTGTGTGATTTGGGCAAATTACATAACCTCCTTGAGCCTATTTCCTTATCTTATAACGAAGAAAATCAGTATCAACCAAGGAATATAGCTCACATGTAAAACCCCCAGTACAATGTCTGATTAAAACCCTAGCTGATGTTATCACTGCTTCCCACCTTTCTTCTCCTTCTGAATAACTGAGGCTAATCTGATGGGATTTCCTGGCCCCTGGAAGGTATATGGGGGCCTTGGAGACTTCCAGAGTGGTTGCTGGAGATAGGATGAGACAGGAAGTGCAGGCTGGGAGGAAGATGCTGGTTCCCAGGCCTGATGCCCTCCTACCTACCCAACCCTGCCCTTCCCCCTGCAGTCCTATCCAAGAACAGCAAGCCTATCCACACCACCATCCTGAACCCGCACGTCCATGTGATCGGAGAGGACGCAGCTTGCATCGCCTACATCCGCCTCACCCAGTACATCGATGGGCAGGGTCGGCCTCGCACCAGCCAGTCGGAGGAGACCCGGGTCTGGCACCGCCGGGATGGCAAGTGGCTCAATGTCCACTATCACTGCTCAGGGGCCCCTGCCGCACCGCTGCAGTGAACTCAGCCACAGGTGCACCTGGGGGGGCTGGGGGGACTGGGGGGGCTGGGACAGGTCGGGTCAGAGGAGGAAGAGAGGTTAAGAGGTGGCACTGGGGGAGGATATATGGGCCATCTCAGAAGAGTAGCAAATGCTGCACAGTGTGGTGGTTGTCAGACAGACTTGGGTCTGGCTCCATGACTCCCAATTGGGTGACCTTGGACAGGTTACTTCCCCGCCCTAAGCCTCATTTTCCTCAGCTGTCAAAAAGAGGGAAGGAGTGGTGCCTACCTCCTTTGTTGTTGTGAGGATTAGATAAGATACTTGTAAGTAAAGCATCTAGTAAGTGCTCAGCAAATGTGAGGCAATGTTAACATGTAAACACTAGCTTCTCCCTATCCTCCACCTTCCCAGGCAGACCTGGGCTGTGTGTGTAGCGTGTTTAAGCCTCTGGAACTCATCTGTATGTGTTTTGTCCTCTGTTCTGTTACCACGTCTGTCCTGTTTGACAGGGGCATTAGGAGATCCCAGCCGGAGGTCGAACCTTCGCAGCCAGTGGCTCTGGAGGGCCTGAGTGACAGCGGCAGTCCTGTTCGTTTGAGGTTTAAAACAATTAAATTACAAAGCGGCAGCAGCCAATGCACGCCCCTGCATGCAGCCCTCCCGCCCGCCCTTCATGTCTGTCTCTGCTGTACCGAGGTGTTTTTTACATTTAAGAAAAAAAAAAAGAAAAAAGATTGTTTTAAAAAAACAGGATCCATACCATGATGCGTTTTAAAATCACTGATGGCCTTTGGGCTAGGAAGACTGCAGGAGTTTGTGTGACACCCATCCTGGTGCGAACAGTGGGCTCACCAACGGGCCCTGAATAGGTGAGCTCAGCCTCTGGCCTCCGTGGACTCGGGGGACCAGACGAGAACTCTGACGGAGCTTTGGGGGCCGTGATGTGATTGCAGCCCCTGAGGTGGCCTGCCTGCCCCAGATCTAGGAATGGACTTCTTCAGAATTTGTGATGCGCCTAGAGTGAGGCTGACGAGAACATCGTGGCCATTGGACCTACTTGGGAGAGAACGTGCGGAGCTCCCAGCTTGCTGTGGAGGCAGCTGGGAAGCAGTGGCCTCAGGACTGAGAAGCAGTGGCCCGGATGTTGCTGTACTGTACCATTTAGTGTAGAAGGGAAGAGAATTGGTGCTGCAGAAGTGTGTCCGCTAAGAAGCTGATGAGAAACCTCGTGTTAGTCTGACATGCACTCACTTACTCATCCATTTCTATAGGATGCACAATGCACGCGGGCCCTGATACTGAGGCCCTATCCTTGCAGCTAGGAAGTGGGAGGGGTTGCCGCTTTGCTTCGTGTTTGTTTTCTTATAACCTAGCAAGAAGAGAGCCAGGCCTTGGTCTGGGCTCCCCCTACTGCCTTTGGCAGTTCTATTTCCGTGCTGATTTGGACCATCTTTGTCTTGCCTTTTCATGCTGGTGGTCCCTGTGCTGACCCTCATCTGGGCCTGGGCCCTCTGCCAAGTGCTCCTGTGGGACGGGAGGAGTGAGGAAGCAGGACTGAGTTGATGGTTGTTTCTATGCATTCAGGCTGCCCTCAGGGCTGCCTCCCTTCTTACTCTTCCCTTGTTGCACGTCCATCTCTTTTCCTGTCTTTGAGAAATTGACCTGACTACTTTGGCAAGAAGAAGAGGTGTCCTCTTTAAAGAGGCCTCTTTACTGACCAACTGAAGCATAGACTTACTGCTGGACAATCTGCATGGGCGTCACCCTCCCTCTCACTTGCATGTACTCAAAAGAGATGTCCAGAGCCACGGCTCCTACATGCATTGTCCCTCTCTGTGCTCAAGGAGTTCATTCCAGGAGGGGAAAGATCTATACTCTAAGCAGATAGCAGAGAAGATAATGGAGGAGCAGTTGGTCATGGCCTTGGCTTCCCCAAAAACAACTGTGTAGACTTACCTGCACAAGCGTCTGCACTATTGGGGGAAAGGTGGGGAGACCCCAGCTCCCTGGATGGTGCCTTAAGAGGAGGCACAGGAGCTGGGAAAAGAGCAAAGTTAGAGGTTTGCCTTGGAACCAACTGAGAAGAGAGGAGACTCACAGGTGCTGGTGCTTGGATTTAGCCAGGCTCCTCCGAGCACCTCATGCATGCCCCAGCCCCTGGGACCTTGCCCTTTCCTGCCCTGCAGCCTGCAGTACCAGCACGCAGACACCTTCACCACAGGGTTTGGTTTTGCTGGCTTGAAGACAAATGGTCTTAGAGTTCATTAAGACCCATAGCTTCATATGGCTGCTCCAGTCCCACTTCTTAGCATTCTTACTCCTCTTCTGGGGCTAATGTCAGCATCTATAGACAATAGACTATTAAAAAAAATCACCTTTTAAACAGGAGATGGAAGGCATTTGATGCAGAATTTTTGCATGATGACATAGAAATAATTTAAAAATAGTTAGTGTTTGTTCTGAATGTTGGTAGACCCTTCATAGCTTTGTTACAATGAAACCTTGAACTGAAGATATTTAATAAAATAACCTTTAAAGAGTCCATTGCGTTACTGCTGTTGGAGGCTTATGGCCAAAGGCTTAGATTTTAGCTGCCTGGGTTTCAAGGCTTCATTCAGGTGGAGAGATGTACCTCTTCCCACTCCTTTTGGGCCCATTTTAGAATAAAACTTCCTCAAAAGTTCATCAGCCTCAAAT